TTCGTTGTTGCGAGTAGACTTGTACTTCTTGCTTGTTGTCTTCTTCGTAGGAGCTTGCTTGGAATCACCGCCCTTGTCAAAGTCTTCTGAGGATTCCATGCGTTCGCAGAATCCAATGGTTTCCCCGATAGGAGCTGAGAAAGATCGAAGTCGTGTTCGTCCATCTCTTCATCCACGAGCGTGGAATTCCATGACAAACAATGTCAATGACTTCGTCATGGTTCAACGTTTGGTTGGGTCCAAAAGGTGGTAGACGAGGAAGTTCATCGGTGTTCATCCGACTGAGGTTGTTGACATAAGCCCGAGTAGACATATCGGCAGGCTTTCGCATCTTGCGGCGCATGAAGCGTTTCTGCTTTTCAAGTGCCTGTAGGGACAGACCGCTTCGATACAGGCATTTATGCCAAACTGTAATGTCAGCGTCGTCCAAAGCAGGCTGAGCTGCTCGTTCAGGCAGCCTGGAAACGTGCTTGGAAAGTGGCTTCGTCTTCACCGCCACGTACATCGCGTGGAGGAATCGCGTTGACTGCAATCTGGCGCAAGCATTCCAACGTATTTCACGATGCCTGCACAGCTAGATTCGTAACTGCCTTTGGCAGAGCTAGAAGTCATCTCCTGAGGAGGTTATGTTTGTCGTCAGGCGTAGCAATGGCGAACCCGACGAAGACCTTCTCCATACGTCCAGCCCACTTGATGGTCTGACGTGGAGTCTCAGATCCAATGATGATTTGGACCTTGAAGGTTGTACTTGGCCTGTTAGCATCTGCTGGAAAGTGGAATTTGTAGGTGGTAGAGCGAGAATCGTCGATTTCGCATTCATCATCGAGGTCGATGAGAGGAAGATTGGTTTGTCACGCAGCTTAGACTCGAAGCTGTGTATGCGTCTTTGGCAATCTTCATGGTGAGGAATAGGTTGAGGGTAGTGAAAGCTATTGTGTTTGTTAACAAAATGCACTACGCTTAAAGCTAGTGTAAAGATCTTTCGAGTGTTTTGAGTTTGAGAGAATGAAAGTTATAAGAGGATTAGAAAAGCTATGAAAAACTAATCAACGAGAGAGATCACAATTAAAGGATCGTAGATCTGAACTCCGCGGGAGACTGTAAGAGTGTGATAGAGTAGGTTGCGTAGCAATCCTACTCACTCCACGATCCAAAACGGAACGCGTGGAAGATTCGTCTAGCATTTCTCTAGTAGCGTGGAATCTCTCCACGCCAGCTAAATATCTAGCGCGATGTTTCACCATCGACCTAGTATGACTAGCGGTCATGAGAACCCTGTCTCAATGACTATTCACGAAAGACTCAGTCATGAGTCGAACTCAAACCCTATCTAGGATCGAGTCGCGAATAAGGCTAAGAGCCGTATTGCAATGGACACACAAAAGATATATCAGTCACCCATCGGTAGTCTACAGTGGGCAATCCAAATGGAAGGTTCGATATCGCCACGGCCACCATGACGATGTCCAGATTTCGGGCAGCACCAAGAATGGGTCACTTAGAGCGAGTCAAGAGTATCTGCGGGTACCTTTCCAAGATGCGACACGGCATCATACGTATCCGAAAGGAGGAACCGGTTACTCAGCGATTCCCAAGAAGAGTACGAATGGGAATAATCATGCTACCATGGTGCAAAGAAGTCAGCCGCACAACGCACCGGTACCCCGAGGCAAACGGGTCATTCTCACCACATATGTGGATGCAACCTCTATCACGATCTCATCAGTGGCGGTCAGTTACCGGAGTCCTACACTAGCGAACAAGACTCCCATCGACTGGTTCAGCAAGCTACAGTCAACAGTCGAGACCGCAACGTTCGGATCTGAGTATTTTGCAGCCCGTACCGCCACTGAACAGACATTGACCTACGGAGCACGTTCAGGTACCTAGGAGTACTGGTCGACACACCGACCATGATGTTCGGAGACAACGACGGTAGTCAACACCGCCTCGATGCCACATCAAAGATTCTCAAAAGACACAATCGCTTTCCTACCACCGTACTAGGGAAGCCGTTGCTGCAAGTATCTTGAGATTTCATCATATCCCTGGATCTACTAACCCTGCGATATCCTCAGCAAACACTGGACTATACATCGGTATGGCCTATGCTGAATGCATGCTGTTTTGGTCAGGAGATACCAAGGATTGCGTAAGAAACACTCAGAGTCGACAGTCGCCACTGAGGGGAGTGAAAGCGTTACATTCCTCCCACGACTCAGAGTTATCCGTGAGTAGATTGAGTCATTTTTATGAGTCAACACGAAGGAACAGAGAACGCTGGCAAGAACACGTTCTCAACGAAACCAAAAGGACACGGTAAATTGGAGTATTCGACAGGAGTAAAGCATCCTGCCAACGAACCGTTTCCGCAGATACCACGTTGACTTCCGTATCAACTACCACGATGATTGATCAACACGCTACAACTAGCTTTACTTGATCGCATCAATCAAAGCTCACAACACAGATTATGAATTACTAAGAAGCGAACTTTGCATTTTACCTTGCACTCGTCTTGAATAGTTGCAGTTGATCTCGTCGGGTGGTAGCTACCTCTACAAGATCCCTCTATTCAAGTAGTATTTCCCCACGTTAGCAGCGACAATACCATTGTGGATTGATTAATCTAACGATCTAAGAGATGTAAAGTTTGTATTTCCAAATAAGTGAGCAGTTATTGATTATTTTCTAGAATAGGCCCGCAATTTATAAAGCTGTAAAGCTGAATTGTAAGCTGTATCCCGTCGCATCTTCTTCAACCTTTTTGTAAAATCGAATCTGGTTTCCACCAGCTGATCCATTCAAGATGTCTCGCTTGCCATCTAGGATTTGCACACAACCATACCAGCGATCGTGACCAAAGCCAACCACTTTGCACAGTGTGTCTCTGCAGCAGGGGATGTTGCTTGTCCCACCAGGAAGAATGTAGCACCAGATCTATTCCTGCCTGCTGAGGATGCCACTGGTAAACTTTCCCCCCTGGTGAACATACTTGATCCATTCCATAATTAATTCCGTTTGCTTGTTCTTGGGCAGACAGGCGAACTTGAAAAGAAAATCAACCATGGACTTGTGGGCGGAAGCATCACTGCTTTCTGTTGGGATATCTTGGCAGCAGTTGCATGGTGTGTGGACAATGTTGTTCTTGATTGAGACACAGTTGTCTAGAGTGGCAAAGTTGTTCAGCCAAAGTCCAATCTCAGCTTTGAGCTCTTCCACGTCAACTGGGAGCTTCGCCCCTTTTTTGGTGCATGTGATCTTGTTTCGAAGGGCAGGAATCTTCCTCACAGGGCAAGCATAGACCTTGCGACAGATATCTACAACGTTTCCAGATGGTGGAGGGCCCGCCATGGTGTTGAAATAGAGTGCGATTTGGCCATCTTTGAGTTGGTTCCACTATTGTTTTGAAAGAAAAGAAAGACGAAAAGAATGGGAATCGGCACGATTAGTGTGGGAGTCAGCCCAACAGCCCAAACGTGCATGACTACTTATAATTGTCAGTTGGTTGCGATATAGTAACTAGCCGACAGATGGGTATGTTCAATGCATCGCTGGATAGCTTATTGTATAATTAAGATGATCGTGCCATAAAACCAGATCCGGCCAGCCTCACATTTTGACTAACGACGGACAGACGCTCGGAGGAAAACGTTCTGACCAGCTTTACTTTTCGGCAACCGGTGTTCAACAATGTCACACTCGTGACTCATTGCGTCGTCTGGTCGATAAGGATTAACTCATGACATCGTTACTGTGATTAGGGTTTAGGTTTTTCTCAACAGGAGTAACAGCATTCCAATCCACTGTCGTCATTCCACCATGCACTGCAAGCCGGGTAGAAGTCTTGGCCACAGGCATTGCATTGAGCGGTCTCTTCATGCACTTTGAACATGTGTATAAGTTAGTGTTAGGGTTAGATGGTTTTGGTTTTAGATGAAACTTTAAGGTCCTCACGTAACCATCTAGTCCCGTTTGCTCATGACTGACCAAATTACTAGCAAATATCACGACAAACCTCGAAAACACATTGCCAAAACCTTCCTACTTTGGGCTCCTTCTGCTGCTGTTGTAATAGAAAATACAAGGCTTCATCAATACAAACATTTGTTGTAAAGTACCCATGGAATGAGGGTATGTGATATTGACAGCCGTCTTGGCCACTAGGGGAAGTTCTTGAGGTGACGGTTGGAAGCAGCGATTTTTCGCCGAAATCATTCATCCAACCAACAGTGGTAAAGCACACAACGCAGACAAAGAGATGAATGTCATCCTCCTGTACTCTCCCTCTTTGTCTATCTTAGAAGAGGAAACAACAGTGTTAAAGTAGCCAGGATGCCAATGAAGAGTGTTATCTCCAGTCCCAAAAGGGACGGGAGATTCCATCATTATCGCGATTTTACTCGATTTTACGTGTTAATCTTAATTAGTGACTCAAAATCAATCACATGGTTCTGTGAGGACCTTTTAACGATGTATCCCACAGTCCGGCGCGCATGGGCAAACAACACGAAAAATCGAGCAAAATCGCCTATCAAGATGGTGCTTCTTGCACCTCTTCTGGGTCTTTTCGGCGATAGCAACCATAAACAAACTTGTTGGGAAAATAGTAAGAAGGTGAAGAGACTTAACCTGCCACTCATAGGTGCTCAGGAAGGCTTAAACAGCAGTATCGCTGATTCTTTTCCACCCTGTTATCTCTAAGCCTCTGGCGCTCCAAAGGTGGCAGGATAAGCGGCGATGCCACCGATAGACTTATAGAAAGGGCTCACAGCAAAGTCAAGCTGTCGAAAGGGAGTTTACAGTGTCAACAAAGAGGTCATGCAGCGCCATTTTCACTCGATTTTTCGTGTTGTTTGCCGATGCGCGCCGGACGGTAGGATACATCGTTAAAAGAAAACGTGAAATTATTACTAAGTTTATAAGTTAGTTTATGACTTATGACTCGACTCGTGAAATTCGCCGGTTTCCGGACGGTGCAGATGTTCAGATTGCTTTTTAAAAAAAAGACTCTTCACTTCACCTTCCACATCTCATGCAAGGTTCACTGAGTAGCTATCAGAGTACAAACATGTCATGTACAATGTGCATGACTGGCAATGCTGCAATATTCCACCCAGCTGTCTCAGGGCTGGGGTGGAACTATGTTGGCTTGGTGGCTTTCCTGTGCTTCCGGCCGAAGGCCATCATGGTACCGGTATCGCTTCGAGACTGTAGTGGACGGTCCAAGATGCACTCGAGTACAAGATATCATGGTAAATCTGCGTTGCTGCAAACAGCCTATTGCAATAAGTAGGTTTTCCCATTATTTTCTTTTCTGATTCGATTCACAAAAAAGGTGTGTAGATCCAAATGCTGAAGTCTGCTTCTGTTGTACCGGTGTTCTGTCACTCGACTCCCTTGTTGGTTGTGCCGTTGTGCCCCCGTCTGTCGCCACCTGTACCTGCACTAACAAACCCAATACCTGCAATCCCATCGCAGCTTATTACAACTTCGATCAACAAGCTTTTCCAAACATGTCGACGTCCAAAGGAGTGGTAGAAACATCGAGCATCACAAGGGCACCCAAACCAGGTGAACAAGCTTCGTCCCTGCTGCAGGAAGCGATTGAAGTTGGTTCTTTGGAAAGATCGTTCGTGGGAAAACCCTCTGAAGAGCAGAATAGTACGCCTTGGGCATTGGTAATGGACAAGGAGGGCGGAGCACCAGCTCCCTTGTCTTCTTGTCGCCCGACACCATCAGTGGGATCAGATGATGGGGAACTGGTGCCGATGACCGCTGACAATTCTGATGGCGGTCGAATGAACGAGTCTATGGACAGTGCTGACAACCAGTTGGCACTGCTAGCCTCCCCTAAATCCCTCTTCAAGACCAAGTCTGACGGCAAAGTGAGCCAGAGCACAGTGGAAGAAGAATCAGTGGAAGGAGTTTGTCAGTCAGCAAAGAGGTCCCGTCCCTCCTCGCTTGATGATACCGCTACGGTGGGGGTGCTGCCCCAGAAACCACGCCCTAACGACGACCACGATTCTCGGTTGGATGCAACCGACAAAACGGATTGGTTGGACGAGCAAAGGAAGATGGCGGCGGATTATCAAGAAGAAGGTGACCTGATGTTTGCTCGAGAAGTGCTGCTTTCGGCGCTTCCAACTGCCATCCGTGCCACACAGGAACGTCTTCGAGGTACTGCCTACTTGGGTCAGTACTACGCTGAGCTGGCCAACATCTGTGACCAGCTAGGAGACACTGCCGAAGCAATCGATTACTACACCAACGCTGCCAATCAAGAACGCGAGGCTCTAGCAGGTCAATACCAACGAACTCCGTCGCAGCTTGGCATGAGCCACTTCCGAGGTCTTGTTCAATCGCTTGAAGCCATTTGTCGGATCTATGTCGAACTGAGCCACTTCAACAACGCTTTGTGCGTATACAAGGAGATCTATGACATTCAGGTTGATGTTGCTGGGGCCAACAGTCTGGAGGTTGCTACCACTCTTTGCAACATGGGCCTAATGCACTATATGCTTCAGCTGTATTCGCCATCTTTGCTCTTCTACCAAGAGACCCTGAGGGTCAGTCTCGCTGTGCTAGAAGAATTCCAGAACCCACAGAACAGTGACGCTACCCGCATTCCAAAACTTGCCCCCTTTACCCTGGCAAGGAGCATCGGAGATTCGTTGAATGCAATGGGTCTCCTCTATCTCAAGCTGAAACGGTTAGATGAGGCAACAAGTGCATTCAGCTGTTCCCTCATGGTTCGAGAGAAGATCATGGGGCCGTACCACCGTGAAGTGACCATCTTGTGGTACAATTTGGCCATGGTCCGAATAGAAGCTTTCGATGCCCGCCGTGCCATTCCTCTGTACAAGGAAGGACTCCGAAGAGATCGCATTGGTTTGGGGGATGCTTACCATCCTGACGTATCCCCGACACTGCAATACCTTGGCGAGATGTACAACCAGCTGGGAGAGCTGGATGACTCGAGGGCATGCTTCCAGGAGGCGCTCGAGATTGAAATCCGCGCCGCTCTTCGGCTTTCCACCGCTGCCAATGCTGCGACATGTTGCGTTCATCGATCCTGCAACAAGCACATGGCAGCAATCTGCCGGCTGTGCAACGTCATTGGCAATCTCCATTTGATGTAGGCGAACATTCCTGCTACAATGCAGTGTTATGTGGAGGCAGCTCGAACAGCTGCTAAGCTGAGGGAGCGAGGAAACATCCACATTCCACTGGTTGTGGCTGGGCACACCTTTTGTCATTTGGCACGTTTCCATCCCGACAGCGCTGCGGCGGCTTGAGCACTGCAGCATCCAGAAGAGGTCCCGTACAACACATCCTTTGAATACTTACATACATGCCGTCTGCTGTTGTCCAGAACTGCAGCCTCCTCCGTCTTGTGATATCTCTTCTCTGGCCTCTGGGGAGAGAACCAGCCTCTTTAGAAATAAATGTTTGGAAATCTACAACATCCTGCTAGCTAGGTGGTCGTCTGTAGTTAGCTAGGAACAATGCCATAGGAACAAAGAAAGAAGCAACTGTTATACTACTAGCTAGCTAGGTATCGGCGTGACGAGCTTGTCAAGTTTCATTCAGTGGTACTCATGTAGCTACGTGTGTGCTGAATGCTGCCACCCAGCCTATTTCTTTGAAACTAAAGAGACGTAGGTTGTTGTTAAGACAATCTGTGAATTCAATACTGGCTAGATAGAAACTAATTAGCATAGCTACCCAAGCAGCGCAAATGATATGAATATGAAATTGTTGTTGTGTTCTTTATCTCACTTTTTTTTGTGTCTGTCCACATTGGTCTCATTCATTCATTCATTCAGTGCAGGAGGCTCAACGTTGCGGCGCCATGAGGGATATGACTTGGCTGGGCAATGCAAGCATGGAGTCCATGACATCCTTGAGAAAAGTCGTCCCTCCTTCCTCCCCAGTTTTGTCGTTAAAGGCAGTCCGAACTGACACGATCATGAGGACGACCAGAAAGAGCACAGCCAATGCTTGTGCAAAGATGGTAGAGCTTTCACGACGTGGTGGGTGCAGTTGAGAATCCGAGGTTCGGCTAGTGCTCTCCAGGTCTTGGTGGTGGCATCTGTTCGATGATGAGGATGATGATAGCAAATGGTCTGTTTCCTGACGCGGCCGTTGTTCTCTGCGAGGAATAAACGCCAGTGGAGGCTCAGTTTGGTTTTGTTGTTGTTGTTGGGGCATCATGGTGGTTTGTTTTGTGGTGTGAAGCTCTGCTGCGAGCTTTGCCTTCAGATTGTTCTGTTCACGACAACGCTTACTTGGTGACAATGTATCAAAGCAGATCGTGTGGATACTGGTACCACTTCAAGAGTTTCTTCACAATGGTAGTGAGGTGTCACCATCATTGGTGCAGTTGCGAAGCCTTCGCGCCTCACCTTGTATGGTACGACTGTACTGGTACCGGTAGCAAAGAATGAACCGGATCTTCCGGAACTTATTGGCTGGTTGACACCAATGCCAGCCGGGTGACAACTTCGCTCCATCTGTTGTCAATTTGTTTCTCTCTCCCCAATCATCAAGCCACTCTACAGGCTTGATACACGCGTCACTGACCGTTAGACTCACAAAATTGCCTTTGTTTCTCACTTCTTCCGCAACTCGATACCAGTGGCGTACCCGGGCCCTGTGGCTGGGCATCTTTGTACTATACTGTGTCTTGATAGATACGGAAGTGGATGCAGCACCTTTGACTTTGGCTTGACGGCAATATCGCAGCAGCAAAGGACTGTGTACAACGTATTTTGTTTCAAGGTATCTTTCTTTCAAAGTAAACTTGTATCTATCTTGCCAAGGAATCATCATCAATCGAATGATCAATCGAATCAAATTAACAGTCAAGAAACCCTAGCTAGCTAGCAAGAGCTCTCGCCGATTGAAGAGACCAGAGTCGGCATCATAGAGGACAGCGGCAATCCCATGGACGGACTCAAGGAAGACAATAACCGACGCAATAGTGGCTCACTCAAAGAGGGTCGGCACTTTCCAATACAATGGAGTCGTCGTCTGGTCATTTTCTTTCTGGGTGGCTTCTTGGTATCCAGTTTGAAAAATGAAATGACAACTCTGCAAGGGTCAACAACACGCATGGGCATCGATGCTGCGACTGTAGATGGAAGCATGTTGTCTCCACAACGAAGGGAAACTTCCATTGTGAATGGGGACGATTTCAGGGGATCAGACACTAATAGTGGTTCTGCCGTAATAATATCTACCGCAGTTCCAACCAACCCGTCTACCGGTCTGAGTTTCGCAGAAAAAATGATACGGGGAGAGTCATCTCAAAACATTCATATTCCCAACACGGCACCACCAACAACACCAAGCAACCAAAATTCACAAGTCACAACATCATCTTCAACCACACAACAACAACAACAAAAACTGAAAATTGCGCTCTACATGACCACTCATCTCAGCGACCAACATATGGAATTCCTCGTCAAATGCTGGCCAGCGGCTATCAAACGCTTACCACTGGTGCAGCAAGCTGACCTGTTGGTTTACACCAGCACAAAGGGAATGGATCGGGTCTTTACCAGTCTGGGATTCAAGAATGTCACAGTATTCCACTACGAAGAAGCTTGGAATCCAATGGGCGCCAAAGCGGCCATTGACGAGAACAATAATGATTTGGATACTCAAAAACAAGAAGGCGCCATTCGAGGATTGGTTGATCCATTTGTGCAAACCAACCTTTGGTTTGAAAGTTACGACTGGGTCATCCGAGTCAATCCCGACGTGCTCATACGAAGTGATACTTGGTTGCTACAAACCATGCAGAATCCTACCGTGGCTGGGATCTTTGTCCCGTGGGACAGTCCCTGGCACGGATTTTGCTTTCATACCGACTTTTTTGCCTTTCGACCTCGTGCTGCCGACCGAAACGCACTGCTGGAATCATTTACGCTTCAAAAACAACGACAACAGCTACACGCCGAGACACACTTGTTTCAGGGCTTTAAACGTCTTTACCAAACAAAAGATCCCAATCAACAACTAGTCTGGTTGCCAGGTGTTAATAAGACAAGCGCCAATGGAGTGGGACACGTGGCAGGCGTCAATGCAGATGTACAGCATGTTCATTCACTGGAACAACACTGTCCCGATTATTTCCATGTTTCCGACGGAGTCACCTACTGATATGATGCTAGCTAGCTAGCTAACAATCAATCGACAATTACGTAATGCATAAAATGGCGTGCTGCCTCTGGAATGTTCGATTGGATTCTTCATTTACACAGCCGGAGGGTTCGAAAGTACACGGAAAGCCATTTGAAAAGCGTCCGGAAACATGCGTTCTGCCTATCGCTCTGACTTTTTTCAGGCAAAGGATGAGGTTTGCTCTTGTGGTGATGAAGCTATAGTAGTTTTTTCATGGTTTCCCGTTTAATTTTAGAAACAAGAGAGTTACGCTCTTGAAAATTCTAAAGAAAACGATCTAATGCTCTGCTGGCTGAGTACGGGTTTTTGGATGCAGAAAGTGATGCGGCTGCGGCACATGTATTGCTCGGATGGACTGCCACTACTTGAATGTAGTCAAGTCAAAAGGAAATAATGATAGTTCCACGGGTGACCAATTCGGCCGACACTTGGCTCCATGATTTATTTGTTCCTGAGAACCGCGTTGTCAGGGCCAATACCAGCCGTGCCTGTTTGGCTCACAGTGCCAAAATGCTGCGTTGATGGCCATCATTATAATCATTACTATTAGACCTAATAGCTAAAGTAGACTACATGGAAAGGACTGATGCTATGGGCTTTAGACACTGGTACTGCGCATGTATGGCCATAGCGGTGGAGCATAAAGAATGAAGCAAAGCCCACTGGCCTACCTAGACCATACACCTCCTGAATACCGTAAAAGTATATCCCAGAACTGAGAGAAATACTGAGAGCCTGTACGAGTGGTAGGGGATCCTACAGGACGTATTGGACGTATTGATCAAGGTATCCAACACCAGGCGACACCTGGTGTATGCAAGGTCGATGTTAATACCAGTGTCGACCTAGTGAAGGTCACGTCCTCGACTGTAAGAAAAATGAGGCTCGCACCTCTACTACTACTCACTGTTAAGATATAACGAAAAGCACCTCTTCTACGTTTTCGAAAAGCACAAGACCTCGAAATCGCTCGCTAGCTACTACTACTAGCTAGCTAGCTACTAGCTAGCTAGCCAGTACGTCGAAGCACAAGTCGTTCGTCACGAAAACGAAAACGAAAACGAAAAGCCACAAAATCCACAAGTCCTCATGTAACAGACTCACTATTAGGCATGGCTAGCATGCTGATTAAACTAAGGTCAACTTTACTGAGCACGAACAATACAAAGATCCTCATGCAGACTGCCCATAATGGTGTCCTGCTTGATGCAGCAGTAATATTCAAAAACTTCCTTTGTAATGCTCCTCAATCTTGAGATGACCCAAGCTGGAGCTTTCTGAGCATTGACAATGTAGCCATGAGAGTCCAGAGTGGCTTCCTCCTGGAGTAGGTTGACTTGAAAGCCCTGATATCATCAGCATGAAGTTCTTGGCTGGCTTTTTGCCACCAATACCATGCACCCACTCTTGCCAAGCAGAGCCAACAGTTCTGTACTTGGCTAGCTTGGCAGGCCTACATCAGCAGGGGTGGTGGCCACAGTTGTCTGTACCTGAGGCTAGTCTGGCCATTCCGGCGAGTCCTTTCCACAGTCAACCAATTTCTAAAAAGATTACCATCTACCTGATCAGGTGTTGCCATCCTTGGAGGCTGAACAGCAATCCTAAAAAGAATACAAAAATACATAGTTAGCAGCAGTAATAGCCATAGTTGCAATAGCCAACAGCCACAAGTCCACACTTACCTGCAAATATTTCCATTAGTTTCGTCAGCTCCGCGCAAAGCCAAGTCTCCAACCAGCCTCTCAAGCAGCAGCCGAACTTCGCGGTCCTACCTTCTGCGCTATGCTGCTGGAGCTGGTTGTGCTGCGCAATAATCCTTGTCAGAATCTCCTCGTTCGTTCGTACTGTGTTGCGTTTGCATGCCGTCACCTGCCGCGACTATTGGCAACTTGACGAGTGCTTGCCTGGCCGGTCGTCCCGTAGTGCCACCAGCCGTGCCACCGCCGCCTCCCGTATCCATCGGCTCGATTTCGTTGATGTGGAGCTTGGTGTTGTGCGTCAAAATAGAGAGAGGCACTTTCACCCAGGGTTGACGCCAACAGGAACATCGGCCTTGATGCGTCGTACGCATCTTGGATCTAACACGACGGGAGGCTCCATCCTCTCTCCCAAGATTCGTCAAGAGCAGCCCACAAAAGAGGCAGAGCCAAGTGAAGCAAATGTCGTTACACCGTCTAAAAGCATGTGTCCTTGGCACCACATGCTCAATCAACCAGTCGGAGTCACTCTCTTGGCATCCGGGTGTAGCTTGTAGGCAATAGGAGCCCCCATGCAAAGCTTTTCGGCAACACGGCGTCGATCCAGGGCTGTTCAGGCGAAATGTAGGCATCTACAACCCGTCCAGACAAGCGACCTTCCAGCGACCTCGAATGCAACTTCGTCAGCAGTAGCACCCATCCCTCTTGCCAGAGTTGCAGCAAACTTCGAATGCTGTGACTCCCAAGAACACCGGCAATGAGGAGCGCCACAGCCAGAAATGGAGCCGACAAAAAGACAGCTTGAGAATGTTGCGGTAGGCTGCTTGCAGTGCTTGGGAGCCAACTTGGATCGCTTCGGGAGTAAGAGGAATGCATCTTCCCGACCAGCGCGCCATACCCGTAGTTGAAGGAGCCTCCATGTAATTCGCCATCCGAGCATAGCACAAAAGTCGGTATCCATCGACCAAGAATGATTTGGTCGGGGCATTTCGTTCTTCCGAAATATTCTTGAACCAATGCACCTTGCAACTGAGCGCAAAAGGGAATCTGGATGCGGCTTGTAGTCGAATACTTCAACTTGGAGATGTCATCCGTCCTGGTGATGAGATGGACTTCTGCTTCAACATGCAGGCTGACGGATGGTCGATTCAAAGCTCCCTTTGCCGTAGAGTTCATGGACCACCTTGCGATACTCTTTCCGTCAAATCCCTGGTGGCACAGGACTTCTTCCCGCGGTGTTGAGTCTCCGCTTTCTTGACTTCTTGACCACTTCGTTCACAGGATCGGACTTGGTTGGTTTGCCGGAGGTTCCATTCAATGTGGCACCTTTGATGGGATGTAGAAGGAATAGCCTTCTTCTTGCTCAAGAGTAGAGGAGGGCAAGTTGGATTCTGCTCTAGGTCTTTGAAGTCAACATCGGTCGTACCATACGCACGCCATTTCAAGTAGTCGGCAACGTGGTGTGGTTGGATGCCGGCCAAAGCACTAGGTTGGAAGCGAGCCGCCTTGGTGTACGTCCTCTTGTGCAGCCAGCTCATGAATTTGACGAAGAGGCGATGGTAATCCCGGTTGTACTTGGGCTGTTCGTGGGTGCTTCAGGCAAATCGGCACGTCTCCAACCCAAAGGCTGCTCCAGCATTGCATTGGCCATGGCCATGGTGGAAGAATTGTTTGGTCAACTAAGCTATTGTTGGTTGAGCTGGAATTTTGGCAGAGTTCCTTTATAGAGTTGAAGGACTGGAAATAATGAGGAAAACTGAAACTGAACTGAACTGAAACTGAACTGAAGTGCTAGCTAGCTAGCTAGCGGAGACGATTCTGATCGATCGATCGATCGATCACGGGATTTCTGCGTTGGTTGCCTCTTTGCCCACGGGATTCGCTGAGAGTACTGCAACAACAACGTACGATTGGATTTGGATCTGCTTGAGTATGCGTCGCATTGGAATGAGAGAACGGTTGGATCGGAACGATCGGATCTCATGGGAATGGCAGGGTATGTGTTGCGATACTTAGGGCGAAATTGGAATCCTCTCAGTATGTGCATTGTCTTATGTATGCATGCGCCCCTGTTATATCTTTGCTGTTGCAGTTTATTTAATATTGGGAGTCTTATTGAGAGGATCTTTGTTTCAATATACTGCCAATACTGTAAGTTCTCTACGTAGCATACCCTCCTGGATCCTGACAGTATGTAAGATCCAGTAGTAGTAGGGGGAAGCACATACTGAGGCTGTGCAACTACTGTTGCAGAAATGTAGTACCGTAAAAGTATATCCCAGAACTGAGAGAAATACTGAGAGCCTGTACGAGTGGTAGGGGATCCTACAGGACGTATTGGACGTATGATCAAGGTATCAACACCAGCGACACCTGGTGTATGCAAGGTCGATTGTTAATACCAGTGTCGACCTAGTGAAGGTCACGTCCTCGACTGTAAGAAAAATGAGGCTCGCACCTCTACTACTACTGTTAAATATAACGAAAAGCACCTCTTCTACGTTTTCGAAAAGCACAAGCAGTACGTTCGAAAAGCACAAGTCGTTCGTCCACGAAAACGAAAACGAAAACGAAAAGCCACAAAAATCCAACAAGTCCTCATGTAACAGACTCACTATTAGGCATGGCTAGCATGCTGATTAAACTAAGGTCAACTTTACTGAGCACGAACAATACAAAGATCCTCATGCAGACTGCCCATAATGGTGTCCTGCTTGATGGCAGCAGTAATATTCAAAACACTTCTTTGTAATGCTCCTCAATCTTGGAGATGACCCAAGCTGGAGCTTTCTGAGCATTGACAAGTGTAGCCATGAGAGTCCAGAGTGCTTCCTCCTGGAGTAGGTTGACTTGCAAGCCCTGATATCATCAGCAGTGAAGTTCTTGGCTGGCTTGTTGCCACCAATACCATGCATCCACTCTTGCCAAGCAGAGCCAACAGTTCTGTACTTGGCTAGCTTGGCAGGCCTACTATCAGCAGGGGTGGTGGCCACAGCTTGTCTGTACCTGAGGCTAGTCTGGCCATTCCGGCGAGTCCTTTCCACAGTCAACCCATTTCTAAAAAGATTACCATCTACCTGATCAGGTGTTGCCATCCTTGGAGGCTGAACAGCAATCCTAAAAAGAATACAAAAATACATAGTTAGCAGCAGTAATAGCCATAGTTGCAATAGCCAACAGCCACAAGTCCACACTTACCTGCAAATATTTCCATTGAGTTTCGTCAGCTCCGCGCCAAGCCAAGTCTCCAACCAGCCTCTCAAAGCAGCAGCCGAACTGTCGCGGGTCCTACCTTCTTGCGCTATGAGCTGCTGGAGCTGGTTGTGCTGCGCAATAATCCTTGTCAGAATCTCCTCGTTCGTTCGTACCTGTTGTTGCGTTTGCATAGCCGTCACCTGCCGCGACTGATTGGCAACTTGACGAGTGCTTGCCTGGCCGGTCGTTCCCGTAGTGCCACCAGCCGTGCCACCGCCGCCTCCCGTATCCATCGGCTCGATTTCGTTGATGTGGAGCTTGGTGTTGTGCGTCCAAATAGAGAGAGGCACTTTCACCACAGGGTTGACGCCAACAGGAACATCGGCCTTGATGCGCTCGTACGCATCTTGGATCCTAACACGGACGGGAGGCTCCATCCTCTCCTCACAAGATTCGTCAAGAGCAGCCCACAAAAGAGGCAGAGCCAAGTGAAGCGAAATGTCGTTACACCGTCGTAAAACGCATGTGTCCTTGGCACCACATGCTCAATCAACCAGTCGGGGAGTCACTCTCTTGGCATCCGGGTGTAGCTTGTAGGCAATAGGAGCCCCCATGCAAAGCTTTTCGGCAACACGGGCGTCGATCCAGGGCTGTTCAGGCGAAATGTAGGCATCTACAACCCGTCCAGACAAGCGAGCCTTCCAGCGACCTCGAATGTCAACTTCGTCAGCAGTAGCACCCATTCCTCTTGCCAGAGTTGCAGCAAACTTCCGAATGCTGTGACTCCCAAGAACACCGCAATGAGAGCGCCACAGCCAGAAATGGAGCCGACAAAAAGACAGCCTTGAGAATGTTGCGGTAGGCTGCGTTGCAGTGTTGGGAGCCAACTTGGGATCGCTTTCGGGAGTAAAGAGGAATGCATCTTCCCGACCAGCGGCGCCATACCCGTAGTTGAAGGACGCCTCCATGTAATCGCCAATCCGAGCATAGCACAAAAGTCGGTATCCATCGACCCAAGAATGTTTGGTCGGGGCATTGTCTGTTCTTCCGAAATATTCTTGGACCAATGCACCTTGCAACTGAGCGCAAAAGGGAAGTCTGGATGCGGCTTGTAGTCGGAATACTTCAACTTGGAGATGTCATCCGTCCTGGTGATGAGATGGACTTGCTGCTTCAACATGCAGGCTGTACGGATGGTCGATTCAAAGCTCCCTTTGCCGTAGAGTTCATGGACCACCTTGCGATACTCTGTTTCCGTCAAATCCCTGGTGGCACAGGACTTCTTCCCGCGGTGTTGAGTCTCCGCTTTCTTGACTTCCTTGACCACTTCGTTCAAGGATCGGACTTGGTTGGATTGCCGGAGGTTCCATTCATGTGGCACCTTTGATGGGCATGTAGAAGGAATAGCCTTTTGTCTTGCTCAAGAGTAGAGGAGCGGCAAGTTGGATTCTGCTCGAGGTCTTTGAAGTCAACATCGGTCGTACCATACGCACGCCATTTCAAGTAGTCGGCAACGTGGTGTGGTTGGATGCCGGCCAAAGCACTAGTTGGAAGCGAGCCGCCTTGGTGTACGTCCTCTTGTGCAGCCAGCTCATGAATTTGACGAAGATGCGATGGTAATCCCGGTTGTACTTGGGCTGTTCCGTGGGTGCTTCAGGCAAATCCGGCACGTCCTCCAACCCAAAGGCTGCTCCAGCATTGGCATTGCCATGGCCATGGTGGAAGAATTGTTTGGTCAACTAAGCTATTGTTGGTTGAGCTGGAATTTTGGCAGAGTTCCTTTATAGAGTTGAAGGACTGGAAATAATGAGGAAAACTGAAACTGAACTGAACTGAAACTGAACTGAAGTGCTAGCTAGCTAGCTAGCGGAGACGATCGATCGATCGATCGATCGATCACGGGATTTCTGCGTTGGTTGCCTCTTTGCCCACGGGATTCGCTGAGAGTACTGCAACAACAACGTACGATTGGATTTGGATCTGCTTGAGTATGCGTCGCATTGGAATGAGAGAACGGTTGGATCGGAACGATCGGATCTCATCCGCCGGAATAGGGCAAGGGTAATAAAGAGAGAGAACGGTTGGATCGGAACGATCGGATCTATGGGAATGGCAGGGTATGTGTTGCGATACTTAGGGCGAAATTGGAATCCTCTCAGTATGTGCATTGGTCTTATGTATGCATGCGCCCCTGTTATATCTTTGCTGTTGCAGTTTATTTAATATTGGGAGTCTTATTGAGATGATCTTTGTTTCAATGACTGCCAATACTGTAAGTTCTCTACGTAGCATACCCTCCTGGATCCTGACAGTATGTAAGATCCAGTAGTAGTAGGGGGAAGCACATACTGAGGCTGTGCAACTACTGTTGCAGAAATGTAGTACCGTACCGGTAGTACTGGTACCTACGGTAGAACCGATGTTGAGTGGACTCCGACATTTCGGCCGGAGTGAGATCAAGCGGGCCAACTCTGTCCTGCCTAAAAATCCTTAGCAAGTTTCGGTAATTAAACACCTTCGTGTTAGTCATTTTTTGCGAGAGATCTAAAATTACACAGCGGTCCAAAAACATTCTTTGGCCGTTCATGCCAATTTTGAGGCAAGAGATGAAAGCGAAGACAATTCAAGGGATTTTTTGGGCTCAATTTTTGTTTCCTTCTTGGAGAAACTGGACGAAACGCAACAAAGAACACGGAAAGAGTACCAGTGGATGACTTGGCTAGTGCCAGAATTGATAATGCCATCTGCTACAAGCACGAAAGTAAGTATAAGTCAAAGGGGAAGTAGCTCCAAGCCAATCGTGGCCAGGTTATCACATTTCAAAGCGCAAGTTAGACAGCTAGCTAGCTAGCTGGAAGAAGAGGGCAACGAATACATTTCATTGGGAAGAAAAGCTGCCTCCATAAGCCACCAACACACAAGAACAGCACTGAAGCTTCAAGACATCAAGTCTCTGCAGTTGTCGGTACCATGAAGATGATACTCAAGCGCCGTATCTGTTTGCCGTACTTGGCCTTGGCAATAGCAGTTGTTGCTGAAGAGAAACCACAAGAGTCCCTTAGGCGTCGGAAAGAATCATTGAGAAGACCCATGGCGAAACTCGAGGAACAGAAACGTAGACGGCAGCAGGCTTTTTTCCCCATCGACTTCTCGTTCTCTGGTGATGAATCGCACCTTGAGTTGGGACGACAACAAAGGGAACAAATGAATGATCTCAAACCTGGCCAGGACTTGAGTGAACGCATTATTGGAGGTCGGAGCGCATCCGCTGGGGACTACCCGTTCTTTGTGGAATGGAGCCGAGGTTGTGGGGGGACCTTGATCCATCAAGACCTAGTGCTAAGCGCAGCGCATTGCTACAACCCAGCAAGTCAGCAACTGACCGTTTGGGTTGGAGGCGTCCGGACTGGACGTGCGAGGCAACGGAGCATAGCAGCAGCGTTCGTCCACCCGCAGTACGACCCTGACACCGAAGCTTATGATTTTGTTATTTTGAAGTTGGACAAGGAAATCCGCGGAGCCATTCAACCGGTTGTTCTCAATACTCAACCAAGCAACTTTCGAGATCCTGAAGATGGTGAAGAGCTTACTGTGATAGGCTATGGTGTCACTGATCTTGTGAATCAAGCACAGTCTCAAACCTTGTTAGCTGCCGATGTCAACTACATTGAAGATTGTGCTACTCGATCAAACTATGAATTGGGCGTTGTTCAACCAACCATCATGTTCTGTGCAGGGGCTCCAAGAGGGTCACATGACAGCTGCCAAGGGGACAGCGGTGGTCCAATACTTGACTCAAACAACCGTCAGATTGGAATTGTCTCTTTCGGAAGAGGATGTGCAGATCCAACCTACCCAGGGGTATATGCAAGAGTCAGTGCAGTGAGCAAGTGGATCGATCAGATGAAGTGTTTGTCAACTGCTGATCAACCCCGAGATTGCGTGATGATTCGAATAGATATACAGTATGATGGATACCCGCTAGAAAACTCCTGGAAACTGCTGGATGCCGACAACAACGTGATATACAGGGTGAAAGCGGGAGAAATCCAACGATCAGGTCACATACCCACTACGCTGATTGTTAGAGCAGGCTCCTACTCTCTGGAAGTGCAAGACAAGGTGGGCGATGGAATCTGTTGTCTGGTAAGTACAGGAAACTGGTCTTCACAACGTCACCCTGAGGGCAGCCTGCAGCTCACATATCCCTTTCTCTTTGATCTCCCAGTATGGTGAAGGCTTCATCTCAGTTTATACAGGTGACAGCTGGGTTGAAGCCAGCGGTGCTTTTGGTCGAGAAACTTCCGTCGATTTTACGGTGAATCCAAGCCGAGACCAGAGTGTCCGAGAATACGCACGATACGGCCATTCCGTCTCACTGCGAATGATTATCAATTACGACAGCTTTCCACCAGAGACCTCTTGGCAGTTGATGAACGACGACACAGGGGCGCCTGTCGACGACCTTGCCCCGCTGTCCCAGACTCAACCGGGGACAGTTACACGGGACTATCACAATCTTCGGGCGGGCCACTATTGGTTTTCCATCACTGATTCTGCTGACGATGGCATCTGTTGTAGGAGTGGATGGGGTTACGTTCTGTTTCAGAAAATCAGCAGTGCAGGGGACTTTCTGTCGAATGTTACATTCATTTCGGGCGAGTTCGGCAGCTACCACGAAGAGGACTTCCTTTTGACATAGTGTTGGAATTCATTCAGTCAATCCAGTCAATCGACAGGTTTGTCCTGCACCGAATACATACATATTCTTCTCCACGGCCCCTGTGACCTTGGCTTCCTTCGGCCCTAGGTTTGCCGTCTTCGACATGAAATCTGAGTTGATACGAATGCCAAGACGAGCGGAAGAATGCATGACTGCTAGCGCGATATCATTTCCTCGCTCTATGGGAAGCAACCAGGAAGTAGTTCGCTACGAGTTGTTTCCAAGCCAAAACCAAACTGGTTTCAGCCAATCATGCGGCGTTCCACGAAAATGTTGTCAGCAAGCTATACTTGGTTTCGTCATAACAATTGCTAGCTAGCTAGAGACTTAGAAGTTACACTTACTATGATGCATACATTTCGGTTCCCACTAATCATACACTTAATCGATACGGCTTCTTGTCACCATCGACTCAACAGCCGCTGCCTGTTCAGGCAAGCCCCAACTCAAAACGCCCCTGGAATTTACCTGCCTCGCCTCGGTATTTGTAGAGCAACGACAAGAACGAGGAATCCTCATTATCAATGGCAGTGACGCTGAAGCCAGCCAGTCTCGGCTCACCACCATCCACGCTATTTTCTCCTACTTGGAGTTCATAGATTCCAGCAACCAAGTCATGGAGCCCCACCTGAACCTCTTTTTCCATGTCATTCAGTATTCGACCCTCAGGGAGGTCCTCGTGGATTGTTGTAAATGTTGAGTCTGTGTTGCAACGCACTACCTTCCAGGTGGTGTCATCTGATGGGCCTTGGTATCTCACATCCACTGCGATAGCATACAGAACAGGTGGCGACAGGATAGACAAATGCGTTTCGTTTGCACTGTTTGGGGAGGATGAAATGATTGCTCCATCAGACCCACCAACAAATGGAAGCAAAATTGAGGCACATTGGCCTTGAAAATCACCACTGAGATGATAAAAAGAATGTCCATCTTGGACAGTAACTTCGCCTACTCCCTTTTCACAGCAAAATCCATTTTGACCAGTGTCTTCAACCTGCAAAAGATAGCTCCGACCCTTGGGAACAGAGAAGCTGTATCGACGAGTACGTCTTGGAGCCACCCGACTTAGACTGCCCGGAGGGATGATAACAACTTCCGGTTGTTGAACACTATGAAAGTCCAACAGACTCATCCCGAATTCTTCTGGATGGTCATCCAGTGTAATGTTGACTTTCAGATCTTCACAGTCTGCTGGGGGGTAATCACTTTCTTGACATATCATGTGAGCCACCCATCGTTCAATGGCTGATATTCTTGCATATACTCCAGGCTGGGATGGTTGAGCGCACCCTTGATTGTGGTGCCATTTGCTTGTGTAAGTTCGCGAACCAAATGACAAGCCAACCTTTAGATACATGCTTCCACCATACTCACCTCTGCCCCAGCTAACAATCCCCACAAGAAGCCCATTCTCATCAAATATTCCTCCTCCAGAGTCTCCCTACAAGAGCACAAATCAGGCAGCGAGGTAAGTCGCGGCAGAGCAATTAAAAACCAACCACTAGCTAGGGTCAAATTCTCATACCTGACAAGTATCCTTCCCTCCTAGAGGCATGTCTCCAGCGCAAAACTGGATAGCTGGATCAACATTCTCATAGAATTCAGAGCAGTTTCGAATGTAAGGAACAGCAACCTCATGGTATACTGTGGGTGCATCTTCCCTGGCATCTTCTTCATGTAAAATTCCATGACCCACCACCGTTAATGGTGCCCCATCAGTTGGATAGCGGGGGTCATCATTCAACGAGGCAAAAGGAATTCCTTGCATCCGCTGAGGAAGCTTCAGGATGAGAAAGTCATAGGCAAATGAATTCTCGGAGTCATATCTCGGATGCTTGAAAGCAGCTGAGGCGTACATTCTGGTTCCACTATTTTGTGTCCCATTGCCACCAACATACAAAGGACATCTTCCAATGGAATTTGCAACAAAGTTGCAGTGTGAAGCACTGATCACAATATCATCATGTATCACTGAGGGTTCGAATTTTAAGCAGAAAAAGCCATGAATTTACCTTGAGCGACATCTCCACAAGAATTATTCGAGCTTCTTGTCATTTATTCTGAACAACTTACAGACTCCCCCACAGTTGTCACCCCATTGCACAAAACTAGGATGTGCGTTCAGAGATGCCTCCTGTCCGCCAACGATTTTGGTACCCGATTCGTCCGCCAGTCGCCTTTGGAAATGACTGACACTCGCTCCTCTGAGTTGGACACTTTCAATGACAGCTGCCGCAACAGGAAAAATGCAACACACGAGTGCGACAACAGAAATCATGGCTGTTGTCCATTTGCTCAAACAGGAACGGATTGATGGCTTTGGTTTTTGTTGTCTTCACAGGTCGTCGTCGGCCAAATTCTGTTTTCAAAGAAAAGATGAGCAGCACAAGAAGCGTGACAGCGTGACACTTGCTGAGATGATGTTTGACACACGAGCCGAGCCCTCTGTAGTGACGTACTAAAGTCGTACGGTACGGTATTTAGAACAGTCCAAATTCTTGCCCTCTAAGAATGGCACAGCGTGGAAACTCCAATGTGATGTGATGAAGGAGTTTGTGAGGGCAAAAAGCGCTGCGTCCCGTGCAACCAGCTGCAAACGGTCCAGAGGCCAAGCCACAACCAACGGCAAGGTGGAGAAACGTCAGAGGAAACATGTTATCATTGCTCCTCTCTAGCTAGCCCCTGCCCCTTTTGTGTCTGTGCCATGCCTTCATGTGAGTTTGCGCCTACAGTATACCGGAAGCTAAACCACCGCCACGCACACAGCGACATTAAACTTCAATGAATGCCACAACAAGCACGAACTAAGCACGATATTTGCCATGATACTGATACATGATTGAAAAGCTATTGAAAGAGCTTCTGATTCACCAAGTGCTAACCTAAAGAACTTACTAGCGTAGCTTTGCCTTTCTTACAACCTGAACCAGCGGCCTTGGTCACCTGCCTCAGCTGAACCAATGACACATGCTTGCCAATGCTTGGTTCAAGTTGAAGCATCAGATTGATTGGATGGCTTTTGCATGCTGACTCGACTCCATTCCATCCACTTTCAACGCTTTCTCCGCCTCGGGATAGTATTGTTGTCGTCTGATTGCTTCTCACTATAGACGCCTTTCATGACAAGAGCCTTCCTGGTAAACTGATTTCCGCGAAGGAAACTCGAACCGGAACCGGCGCCGTCTAAAGCCTTGGCTCCACCAAAGTCATGGTGCCTTCGAGGATGATATTGTAGGTCTTGTCGGCCAAATCGGTCTTGTCTCATAGTCTTGTTCTCTTCCGTGTCCATTCCCTTTCGAGCGCAAGATCATCGCAAGGTTTGCTTCGTGTAGTCTTTCCGCTGCTTCCTCATCTTCGTTTGATTCAGTTTCCTCATCGTCTTGTTCACTGCCTCCAACCTCTGGAAGTAAGACTGATGCATATCGACTCTGAAACAAACCACTCAGGTGATATCTGAATTGCCTGTCTCGGATGGTTACTTCTCCTGCTCCATCCTCACAGCAAAATCCATTTTGGCCAGTGTCTTCAACCTGGAGAAGGTAGTTGCGTCCCTTAGGAACTGAGAATGTATAGCGAAGAGTTTGTTGTGGATTGGCAATTATACTTCCTGCAGGGATGACAACTGATTCTGGGGTGCTAGTGCTGTCATAGTCCAAAAGAGCCAGACCAATCTGTTCAGGGTAATCATCCACAGTAAGGCTAACTTGAACATTGGTGCAATGTGCGGGTTGATATGAACTTTCTTGGCAAATCATGTGCGCTATCCATCGTTCCACAGCTGATATCCGAGCATAGACCCCTGGTTTACGAGGCCTGGCACAGCCTAAATCATCAACATGAAGTCCAGGTTGGTTCCATAAACATGTACATTGCCCTTGTCCATCACATGGGGCCACACAGTGGAAACTCACCAATACCCCAGCTGACCAAGCCCACCAGAAGTCCTTCATCATCAAAGATCCCACTTCCAGAGTCACCCTGTCAAAAACGAAAAGTAAGTTGAATAGTTTCTCTCCAGAACAAGCCAGCAAGCTCCTGTTTTGACGTACCAAACAAGCATCACGGCCACCAAAAGGCATGTCTCCAGCACAGAATTGGACCTCTGATTGTACTTGATGAAGATACACAGAGCATGATTCAATGTATGGGACTGTGACCTCATGATATATGGTTGGTGCGTCATTTCTAGAATCCTCGGAATCCAGCATTCCATGGCCAACCACAGTCAGTGGTATCCCATTGGTTGGGTAGCTGTGATTGGCATTCAAGGGTGCAAAAGGAATTCCATCAATCCGATGAGGCAGTTTCAATAAGAGAAAATCGTATAAGAATGATTGTTCCAAATCATAACGAGGATGTCGAAATGCAGCTGTGGCATGAATTCTGGTCCCACTGCGGGATCTTCCATCACCACCAACAAAAAGGGGGAACCTCTGAATGGAGTTGGTGACGGAATCACAGTGGGCGGCAGTAATGACAATGTCATCATGTATCAGGACACCCGCGCATCCATTTGACCACTGCACATATGATGGGTAGCTGTTCAAAGGCGCTTCATGCCCACCGACGATTTTGGCTTCCAGACGGTGTCTGTTAAAATGACCGTTTCCTCGGAGATGGGAATGAGCGCCGTTAGTGGCCGCCACTGAAGGAAGCAGAAGAGGAACTGAGCACAGAATCTTAAAGATGGCAAACGTTGCTTGCATCATCGTTTGATGGGCGGGTATTGCTATAGTTTTGTGTTGGTTGCACACTGTTGTTCGTCAGTCTTTTCTCGCAGAATTCACTGTCATTTTGTCATCTTGGCTTTGCTCTCGCAGTGCGGTGGCGTAAAAAAGTGGGAGTGGAACATGGGATTTTTCCCATTGACGTCACGGTTGTCAACGACGCCAAATTTTTTAACTTTTCACGAGTTTGACTTGAATTTTCCCATCTGAAAACATTAAATTTTTACTCCATGGATGGAAACGAAAATGACGAAAGCAACGTTTTCTTGCTGTTTTGAAGCCCTTTTGCCTTTTGCTACGGAAAGTACGTTTACTGTACTGGTACCCGTAGGGTGCCGATATTGTTTTTGGCCACAACTGATTTCAAGAGAGACTGTGACGGTCCGTTTTCTACTACAATATGCAGTCTTAAAGGGACTGCAGGCTAGCTAGGGATCAGTCTAGCCAGATAGGTTGACAGTGCAGTTGTTTTGAATATTTGCGGTTGTTGCTTTCAAGACCGATTCGAAGAACATTTGTCTTCAATCCGACAAGGATCAGTACTTACTTCTCTTTGGTGCCACGCTTGAAGTGTGCAGCTAGTGTTTCGGCATAAAGGATGAGGCGTCGTTGCCCTCAAAGAAAGACAAAAATGCAATTTTGGCTAAGGAACAATCCCGAAGGACGTCTCGAACAACAGACTTCTGTTTCGGTAGCAGTACCCGACACAGACCTACGGTGATGCCAGGACACTGTTTTTGTGTTTATTGTAGGATGGAGCATTCATTTTTCTATTGGATGATAACCTGTAAATAAACGAATGGATGTCACGTCCAATCCCCGCGTTTGATATGTTCGCTGTGATATAGTCAGAGCGATGCTGATTGTCAGCGGATTTGAATTGCAAAAAGCAGTACCAGGTAGCCTGACAGATGTCGAAGTTGTTTGAAAGCACCGTTTATCTTTTCTCCCTCCTCCGTTTTTCCCATGCTTGGATTTTTGGTGGTGCGTTTGCTTCTCGTTCTTTCTCCGACATCCACTTTCCTGCTTGGACAAACGATAACTGGTCCTGACTCTCGTTCAGAGATGCCATCAAGGCATCGTTTTGTAGATGGTGTCCACGACCACGACTTCGACCTCCAGCTCGTGCGCTAGCGTTCCCATCGAAAGTGGACCGGCTGCCGTTAAGGTCGTCAAAGGGGTCGCCACTTCCAAACGGGGTGTTCCAATCATCAAAAGGATCGCCACCACCTGAACCAGCGCCAACAGTGCGGCGACCATGACGACTCCCGCTTACGCTGCCATTGAAGTCATTGAACGGATCGCCACCGGCTGTTCGTCGCCCACGACGACTTCCTCCATCCACATCACGCCCGTGGCGGCTGCCGTTCAAATGGTCATCGAAGTGATCTCCGCCCGCCGTTCGACGTCCACGTTGACTGCGACTGCCATCCATGTCTCCAGCAGTGCGACGACCTCTGCGGCTATTATCCAAATCGGAGTAAGCATCTCCACCCACCGTGCGACGCCCTCGACGACTGCCTCCATCATCAAAGGGATCACCGCCTGCGGTGCGTCGTCCCCGCCTACTTCCGCCATCCCAATTATTATTACTAGGAGGCCGGGCGTGGCTGAAGTCGTCACCTGAGCGAGTCCTCCCCGGAGGAAGCCGTCTAGGACCTCTACGGCTTCCTTCTCGATCGTCATAGCGGTTGTTGTCGAATGATTTGGATCGATTTATGGCAGAGCGATTGTGTCGGCTGTGGCCACTGTCCCCCCGGAAACTGTGCTGGCTGCTGTTAAAGTCCCCGAAATCCTCAAAATCGCCTTCTGCAGGCCATTGATTGCCGCGTTGGTCAAAACCGAAAGGATCCTGGCCCGGCCTCGGATTGGGGTTTCGTCCGGGACCAACACTGTGATGCATTGCTGCTGGACCACGGGCACGACGACTGCGATCATCCCTACAGAATGAGCGATGACCCGCAGCACCGCCAGGGCCACCAGGACCGCCACGCCGTCTTGGATTGCCACCATCGCGACTTACACCACTGTGACGGCGTTCACCACCGCTACGCTGTCGCGTCAATGATCCTTTCTTTTGCTTTTCTTCTCGTTTCTTCTTTCGTTGCAACTTTTTAAGCTCCGAGGCACGTTTTTTCGCCGCTTTGGCATCCTTGTCAGCTCCCTCACCACTGCTGGCATCAGAGGATGAGTCTTCCTCGCTGCTGTCTTCATCGCCAGAACTAATACTGTCACTTTTGCTATCTTGTGTGTTCATCAAGTCATTCACGCTAAGACTGCCGTCCATATCATCGTCATCTTCGATACTGCTAAAGGACTGGTCCAATCCAGAAAAGGATCCACCAACAGATGAATCCTCTTTGGCATTGGAGCCGGAAAAACCAAACCATGACATTTTGCGCGTGGGCACTTTGGTAACAAACTCCTTGTCGGTTTGAGAAATTTCATCCCACTCAGAAGAGGATACTTTGGAAGTTTTGGGTTTTACCACAGAGGATGTAACCGAGGTGTCTTCGCCATCTTTTTTGCGGCTCTTTTTCTTGGTAGAGAGTTTGTCATCCAGGTTGGATTTTTTCTTATCCTTGGATTTTTCATCACTTTTCTTGTCCTTGTCTTTGTCTTTTTTGCTGTCCTTGTCCTTTTTACTAGGCTTTTCCTCCTTTTCCTTCTTGTCTTTTTTGCTGTCTTTATCCTTTTTGCTAGTCTTTTCCTCCTTTTCTTTCTTGTCTTTTTTGCTACTACTTTTCCCCTTTTCTTTCTCCTTGCCTGGTTTGATCCATGCCAGATTGATCATTTCATCCATGCTCTTGGTGGAGCCTTGTTTTTTCATGTTGTTTCGTCTGTCTTCACTCTTTCCATTGTCACTATTGTTCATTCCTCCTTCCATGAGATTGCGCAGAGGACTCACGTCCCTTTTGGTATTTTCATCCTGGCTTCCCATTCGTCGAATGCTGCCACTTCTGGAGATGGATCGTTCGCCTCGTGTTGACTTTTCCTTTTTACTGCTGGAGGAGGATTTGGATCTGGAAACTCCCTTTTTGTCTTTGTCTTTGCTACTTTCTTTAGTGTCATCCTTGTCTTTACCCTCCTTATTATTGGACCGCGACGGAATTTTGCTGGCGGTTTTGTTTCGTCGGGGCACTGGAGATGGCGCCGATTTGCTCTTGGCGGACCCAGTCGTTTCGCTCCTGGAGAGAGGTCGCTCGCGCTTACTGCTCTTGCTCTCCTTTTCTTTGGACTTGGCGTTGTTTTCCATGGTTTCCTTGGTGGTGGACGGTGGCTTGTCCGGTTTTTTCATTTCATTGCTGTTGAAAGACCCCAAAGTCTTGTGAGCATCGTACCGTTTCTGTATCACTTCCCCCGTGGACATGTGTCAATGACAGCAAACTCAACTCGCTGTCTCGCCAATCGTTAGCTAGCCCTTGCGATGCTCCAATGGCGGATTGATCAATAGAGACAAGGACTGAAAAACTGTATGTTGGGAGAATATTTCCACTGCGGCTGGTGCACCGTAAGATGAAATAATGACGACCACTAAACAACACAAAGCTGCGCCACTACTCAATGGCTTTCTCTGACCGCAACAAAGCCTCCTTAGCAACTGTTTCCCAGGATTAGACTGATTGTGTTTGTTGCTTCTTATGTTGTGCCTCCTCTCTTCCAGTATGCTGTGGTATTGCCTGTGTCTGTTTAGATGCCTGCTGATTGCCGCAATCGGCGACAGTCGAAAGCTCAAAACTGATGATGCATGCAGTGAACTTCGTAAGCGAAATAAACCATAAACACACTCAGCCACCGTCAGCTGTGAAGACTCCAAACATACTGGTTTATTGCCTTGCTCACAAGAAATAAGATACCCAGTTTTGCAAAACGCCAGAAAACGTTCCTACGATTTTAGCGAAGTGACGGAACCAAGTAAGTTTGCTAGCAAACAGTCGAATCCCTAAAACACAGGCTTTCACTCTGTGGTATTTTTTGGTGCATCATCAGTGATTGGGCTACTATGGTACTACTGAAGTTGTGGATTGTGTTGGCAGGGCGGCTCCGTAGATTTTATTGCAGGAGTTCATCAGCTTTTCCGGCAATTCTCTGGATCATTTCAGTCGCGCTCCCTGTTGCACAGGCTGCAGTCCCATGTCCCAAAGGTCTTGACAGTGCTGATTGGGTTAGGATTCCCATTCAAGAATTTGCTTGACCTGAAGAAAGCCAGCATCAACCAACACACAAAGAGTAAGAAAGAGAAGTAGTCTGATACACAAAAATACCGGTACCTAACTTTCTGCCTCATCGCAGCTAAAGGTTGCTACTGCTTTTTTCCTGTCCATATTCCAGTGAGAAGGTACCTACGAGTACCGGTGAGGAGTTTGAACCTGAGGACTCGACTCTCGACTCCACTCCATCCAAACTCCAAACAAAAAGGTGTCTTATTAGCAAGTTTGAAGTGTATTCCAACTGCAAGCACGCCGTGTCAATCGATGAGTGACACACAGAGCTCTTGCAGTCATTCCCAGTCCATGTAGAATTATTGACTGGAGGTCCGTTGACTTTTCATATTATCTCATGCTTCCCTTTGACTTTTAAGAGACGGTCAAAAGGATATAACTCATCCATTCTCTTTTTTCGGAAAGTTCTGAATCTTCATCTACACCTCTAAACCACCATGAGGTGGAGACATAGCCAATCCTAGCTAGCAAGCACCAAGCAGCAATGCAGAGATGCAGGGACAGGGAAGAGGTGACTGAGCAGCTCGCAGCTCGCAGATCCAGGTAGGTAAATTGTGCCGTACGGTACCACCATGGTACCAGTATGGATGAACTCATTCCTGGTTCCTGAGGAGGCTTGCGGCCAAGAAATACTGACGCCCACAGAAAGAGAGAAGAGAGCTATACCATTTGTCAGAGGAACTGGAGCTGTAAACGTTCCAATTCCCTTAGCGCCGCCAGGACCAGTAGGTGGATTTGCTGGGAGGACATCCAGGTGGTCTTTAATTATCCGCGGATGAACGATTTGAGGAATCGGATCATGTTTTCGTAGCGCACAGGTAATTTGCAATATTTTACTAGCTAGCCAGTTTGAAAAGTACAACGCGTGTAGCAAGTGACAACTGTCTGTGGGTGGTACCTCCAGTGAATGACAAGTCAGGCCAAGGGAGCACATGGAGGGAACATCCGCCGGATGATGTAGTGCAAATGACCTCGAACCTCAATCAACGGAACACCGTCTTGCGCCTCTCCGTACACCCTCATGAGTTCCACCAAGCGTGTAGCTTCCACCAAATGTACCATCATCGAAGGGAGATCCGCGGTCGACAAGAAAATGTTCCCCAGTCTATTCAAAAGATGGCACACTTTGCGTAAGGCGCCCAGGATGTGTGCAGAGGGAGACTCGGGTGTCACCTGAACTAAGAGAAGCTTGGAAACGTTCAATGCCTCTTGGTGGTAATGGAGACTCTCTTCAAACCGCCCACGTCTCTGATACAGTGCACCCAGGCATTCCAATGTTTCGCAGAGGTCCGAATGGTGCTGTCCCAGCCTCTTTCTGTCATGGTACAGGGATGACTCCAAAAAGCGGATGGCTTCATCCTCTCGACCTCGTTCCAGTTCGACAGTTGCGTGGTTGAACATAAGAGTAGCAATGGCCTCATTGGCCTCATCGTCATCGACAGGGCCGTCAAGCCGACGGAGGCATTCGTCAAAAGAATCACCAGCCCTGTCTAAGTCCTTCAGGTGAATGAAGAGGAGTCCAAACATGTTCCAGATGAACGCAATATCTCGTTCCTGCTCCTGGGCCGATCCTCTCTTCTGCGTGGGCGACGAGCCCATCCGAATGCGCAAGCATTCCTGGTAAAGGTCCAGCGACGATGAGTAGCAACCAATGAGAAACTGCATCCAGCCCATGGAGCCGATTGTCTCCGAAACCTGTAGACTGTTCGGCCCGTGGACGAGGCATTGGATGTCATACAACTGCTTCAGGTTTGCCAACGCCATGGGGTAGTTGGCAGAAGTCGAGTGGATCGCGACTTGAACCCTGAGCTGTTTCATCATGGTGTCCCTCAAAGACTCATCGTGTTTTCTGCACTGGGTTGCTTGCTCGACAGAGACTGCGTCCTTGTAGAAGAGGAGCGACTTGGCATAGTCATTGGTATGGCGAAAATAAAAGTCACCTCCTAGCTCAAGCATTTGCACAAGGTCTGAAGCATCCAGCGAGCCTTCCTGGACTGAAAGATAGACAGATTGGAGCGCCCCATCCAATGCATGAAGACTTGTTGTGACCCGATGGTTGCCCTTGGGCCTCTCGCCTGCCTTGGCGGTACCTCCAGATTGCATTGAGTAGGCTTCTTGGTTGTATCCATACCGTACCAGCGACCTCATGGGGCATGTGGGAAGATCCTGTTGCCCTCCACTTGCATGACACAGAACCAACATATTCTCCATGAACGGGCGTACAAGGCAACTAGGCTCTTTGGCGGAGCATGCCAGCGCAATAGCATGCGAGAGGAGTTCCACTGCCTTGAAATGGTCGTGGGACTGATGCACGATGGCAGTGCAGTTGAGCGCTATTGCTCGGTCCGATACGCCCGCGGCAAACCGTTGCGGTGTCAACTGGGCACTACTATCTTCAAGAACAAATCCATAGTGGGCCAACGCATCATCAAGTAGCCCCATGCGAAAGCAACAGTGGCCAAGATTGTGTTGTAACTTAATGGCGAAACTGCACCTCCTGTCATGTTGCTTTTGTTCAGATTGGCCCAGCTCCTTGGATGATAGCAGTTGGAATGCCTCCTGGTAACACTTTCTTGCTTCCATGTAATCCCTATGTCGTACGCAACTCTGCCCTCTGTTATAGAGCAAAACTACTTGGCTTGGTACTTCAGACGTCAAAGAGTCCTCCCGAGACGACACGGCTAGATCATCCTCGTGGCAGTACATTCCGAAAAAGTTGACATCTTCAACCATCCCTTGATATTGGACAGGTGAAGATTGGCCGCCAACGCGACATGCAACGTGAGGGCCAGCCACTTCATGGCCCGATCCATTAGCCTCGGAGGAGTCATGGGCCTCTATGATGGCAGCCATGTTAACTTTATCCCCTCGGGGCTCGGGGCTGCATCAGCCTCTCAACAAAGTCTCTACGAAGACTACTGTATCGAAACAGGTATCCAAATTGATGCAACAATCTCTTCCGAACTTCTGCAGCAGTTGGGCTTTGATGATTTCAGAGATGGTCTCGGCACTGGAACTATTAGGCAGGCTGCTCAGTGCTCAGCGGCTGTCTCTCTGTTTCCTGGTTATGTCAGCATCTCAGGTATCCCTCTTTTTGTCGCCACAACCCGAGACCCAACCATAATGTTTCCGCGATGCGCCGTGAAGCCTGTGAAAGGTATTGTTCCGTAGCTTGCTCCGTACTCCGTACTAGTACGGCCGCCGTATGGTACAGCGTTGCGAAAATTAAAAGAACCAGGCTTCCGACAGAATCCATGTCTTTAAGTCTTGATGGTTGTACTCCCGACTTTAAGACTGGTCTGTCAAACGCGCCTGGTGGTTGTGGAAGGTACTCCACTCACGGTGACCATACATCATGTACACCATACAGTTTTCTGTTTTGTGAGAGTTGCTCGCGTCGCGAGCTCACTGTCACGGCCTCGACTGTCGACTGTGACTCTCTCAGACAACAGATTAAATCCTGCTCCTAGTACTAGTCAGTCTGTTCCTTGAAGGTCGGAAATGCAAAAAACGAAGAAGGAGTGTTCTTTTTCTTTGACACCTACCATCCAGCTCACCTACCGAGCTCCTGCGAACCTACCGATACTAGTACTCTACTCCTTCGTAGTACCATACTGTTACCGTCGTGCCGTCGAGTACTACCGGTACGTGTATGATACCGGTGACAGGCGTACTAGCTAGTAGTAGGTGGCCCCAGATCGATCCTTGGACATCCCCGAGCCATGTCCAATAGCTGTCCAATCTTATTCAGTACCAGTACTTACAGTACCGGTACCAGCAGCGAGTATTGTACTAACCACCTACTCGTACTCAGTAGCTAGATTAGCTACCGTAGTATGTCATAACTGTTGCTTTGAGTACGCATAAAGTACGACTGTACGATTTCCTTCCATGCTGGATCTCTGAAGCTTTTAATTCGTACGGTGCGGTGCGCAGGTACAAAAATAAATAGTCAACGAAAATTCTCTGCAAAATACTAAAAGACTGTCCATTGATAATTCAGAAGTAATACTAATAAAACACTAAAAGTGTTCGGGGGAAGTATTCAGGAGAAGTGTTCGGGAGCAGTGTTTGAGAAAAGTGAAACCAAATTTGCAGAGGTGCAATACACGGCTCTTAGCCTTATTCGCGACTCGATCCTAGATAGGGTTTGAGTTCGACTCATGACTGAGTCTTTCGTGAATAGTCATTGAGACAGGGTTCTCAATGACCACTCTAGTCATACTAGGTTGATGATGAAACATCGCTCTAGATATTTAGCCAGCGTGGAGTACTGGAGTACTTCCACGCTACTAGATAAATGCTAGACGAATCTTCCACGCGGTTCCGTTTTGGATCGTGGAGTGAGTAGGATTGCTACCGCAACCTACTCTATCACACTTTACAGTCTCCCGCGGGAGTTCAGATCTACGATCCTTTGGTTGTGGATCTCTCTCGTTGATTAGTTTTCATAGCTTTCTAATCCTCTCATAACTTTCATTCTCTCAAACTCAAAACACTCGAAAGATCTTTACACTAGCTTTTAGCGTAGTGCATTTTGTTAACAAACACAATAGCTTTCAGCTACCCTCAACCTATTCCTCACCATGAAGATTGCCAAAGACGCTTACACCAGCTTCGAGTCTAAGCTGCGCGACAAACCAATCCTTCCTCTCATCGACCTCGACGATGAATGCGAAATCGACGATTCTCGCTCTACCACCTACAAACTTCGCACTGTTCCAGCAGATGCTAACAGCGCCAAGTACACCTTCAAGGTCCAAATCATCAATGGATCTGAGCTCCACGTCAGACCATCAAATGGGCTGGACGCATGGAGAAGGTCTTCGTTGGGTCGCCATTGCTACGCCTACCGAAAAACATAACCTCCTCAAGGAGATGACTTCTAGCTCTGCCAAGAGCAGTTACGAATCTAGCTGTGCAGGCCACGTGAATACGTTGGAATCCTTGCGCCAGATTGCAGTCAACGCATTCCTCCACGCGACATACGTGGTGTGAAGACGAAGCCACTTTCCAAGCACGTTTCCAGAATGCCTGGGACGGAGCAGCTCAGCCTGCTTTGGACGACTCTGACATTACGTTCGCATAAATGCCTGTGTCGAAGCGGTCTGTCCCTACAAGGCTCTTGAAAAGCAGAAACGCTTCATGCGCCGCAAGATGCGTAAGCCTGTGAATGTCTACTCGGGCTTATGTCAACAACTCAGTCGGATGAACACCGATGAACTTCCTCGTCTACAGTTAACGCTCGCTTATATTTATAATCTTATATTTATTCGCTCTATAATATTTATTATATCTCGAGTTCCCCCCCCCAGTCACGAGTGACCGTGAATGACGTCAGTACACCCTTCGCAAATCTCGTAGCAGCAAAACAATCGCTCGCAATCCATCGCAAACGGTCCAATTCGACAGAGACATACGTGTAAATGCCAATGCATGCCAATGCATGCCGATGAGGTGCCGATGGGAGTTCGCTTGCCTGTCCATTCTCTGCCAGTCCGCGCAAATCTTCGTTCGTGGGGTTTTTCATGGTGTTTTCGCGAGATTTGCGCAGAATGGCAGAGAGGAGACAAAAACAATTCTCTGAGCCACAAAACAAGTGCAAGCAAACCATAACAATTCCTCCAATCGACCTAGACCAACATGAACGGCGCCAACATGAACGGCGCCGATTCAACCGCAACGAAGAAGAAAGGAGCGAAGAGGGGACCGAAAGCAGGTTCAAAGAACGATGTAGCCAAGGCGAAGGTTTGCCAGAGCTTGAATATTGCCAGGGCGACAAGGGCTGGCAAACGCAAACGTGATGGCACTCTCCACTCGTTCTTTACTAGTGGTTAGTAGCAGTAACGCTCTATATTTAGACACAATGTTATATTTACTGGATTCCTGAATCCCCCCCTGTATATATATCTGAATGTTGACTGTACCACCTTTTGGACCCAACCAAACGTTGAACCATGACGAAGTCATTGACATTGTTTGTCATGGAATTCCACGCTCGTGGATGAAGAAGATGGACGAACACGACTTCGATCCTTTCTCAGCTCCTATCGGAGAAACCATTGGATTCTGCGAACGCATGGATCCTCCGAAGACTTTACAAGGGCGGGATACCAAGCAAGCTCCTTCGAAGAAGAACAACAGCAAAGAAGTACAAGTCTACTCGCAACAACGATCACTCTTCCAAGAACGAAGAAAAATGGTGTGACTACCACGAGTCCAGCACTCACAACACTGCTGACTGCATGACTCTGAAGAAGCGCAAGGCCAAGTCTCAGTCCTCGTCTGACAACGATAACAAGCCAGCGTACAACAAGAACAAGACTTGGAAACGCAAATCCGACGACGCCAAGACCTACACCAAGAAGGAACTCTCTGTCCTCATGAAGAAAGTTTCCAACGCTGCGGTCAAGGCTGA